GGTGTTAGGGGCCGTGGGGGGTTAGTGATGGGGTGGGTTGCGGTGTTAGGGGCCATGGGGGGTTAGCGATAGTGGGTGTGGGGTGCATTAGGCAGGGTTGTGCGGGTTCTCACCTGCCTTGCTGCTAGGGAACAATTGGTTCCTGACCTCAGGTTTGAGGAGCTGGGGGGCTTGGATGTCTCTGCCCCAGTGTGCGCTGGTCTGGAGCGTGTGGGGCCGATGCCCAAGGTCCGCCAGGCCAGCTGGTGAGGCCCTTGGGAGAGACCACCCTCACCTGGCAACCCAAATGCCAGCGAGGCTCCTGGCCTCTGACCCCTCCTGCTTCCCCCCAGGTGTGAACTCCTTCCTGGTCTTCATGGCATACAAGGACAGGTACCAGTGCACGGACGGCCAGGTAAAGCCCGGAGCCAAGGTGGGGGGGCGGGGCAGGCAGGCTCTGCGTGCTGCGGGGCGGGGCCTCAGCCCCACGTGGTCCTGAGGTGGGAGATGGGGCCTCAGCCTCACGTGGTGCTGCAGGGGGTGAGGCAGGCTCCGTGGGTGCTGCGGGGGCGGGGCCTCAGCCCCACGTGGTCCTGAGGTGGGGGATGGGGCCTCAGCCTCACGTGGTGCTGCGGGGCGGGGCCTGAGCCCCACGTGGTCCTGAGATGGGCGCGGGGCCGCAGCCTCACGTGGTCCTGAAGTGGGGGGGCAGGCTCCACAGGCGCTGGGGGGCGGGGCCTCAGCCCCACATGGTCCGCCTGTGTCTGCCTACCCAGATGTATGAGATCTTCAGTGTCATCCGGGACCTGGGGGCCGTGGCCCAAGTGCACGCGGAGAACGGGGACATCGTGGACGAGGTGGGGCTGGTGGGGTGACCCCTGCTCTTGGCCCCGCGAGCGCAGATCCACAAAGCTGGGGGAGGGGACCTGGAATCTGGCCCCGGGGGATAGCTAGCCCAGGAGGAAGGCCAGGCAGGTGGGGTGCTGGGAGCCTGCGGACTCCTGGTCACAGCAGGTTTTCCCCCATCCTCACACATCTGACCTTAAATTCTCCAAAACCGAGGTGTTGCTTCCTGGAGTGGGAGGGGGGCGCAGAGGTGGGTTCCTGTGCCCTCTGGCCCAGGACTGGGCCCTCTAGCGCTGTTCCTTCTGCCCACGGGCGCACCTGTGGGGTTCGTGGCCCAGTCCTCAGTCGAGGCCGCTGCCTGGGGTGGCCCTGGCCCTTCTGCCCATGCCCCACCTTCCCCACAAGCCCAGACCTCTGCCCCCCTGTTTACCCACCAGCCTCAGTGCCCGCAGGGGCCGGGCAGTGGAAGGGGGTGCCGGGGAGCTTCCCAGCCGCCTGGGGGTCTGGGCTGGGGGTCACACACACAGCCTCCTCCCCGACATTCCAGACTCGCAGAGAAGTTTCCAAGGACCCACTGGTCTCTCTGACTCCCAAGTTCACCAGGAGTCCTGTGGCATTCAGGGCAATGCAAGCTGCGTGTGTCTCCAGGGTGGGGGCTGGGCTGGGAGGAGGCACACCCCAAGTACAGGAGGGTGGGAGGTGCGTGCTGGGGGAGGGCTTGTTCGGGATCGGCTCCTCCCCCGTTCTCCACCCAGAGTTCGTTCACACTGGGGGGCGCTGTGTTCAGACCTGGGGGTGAACCAGCCTGAGGCGGCCCCACCCCTGGCTGTGCAGAGCCCCCAAGGCCGCCCCACGCATGCACACCCCGGCTGTGAATGCCTCTGTGCGTGCACACCCCGTGCACACACCCGCTGGGGAAGCAGCAGGAGGTGAGGCTGGGGGGCCTTGTCCTTCTCACTCAGGAGGCCTGCGCCCCCAGGCATGTCCGGCCCTCCGTAGCCCTGGGGCTCCCTCGTCCGTAATTCGGGGAGCTGGAGTCACCCCCTTCAGAGCGCGACCCTTCTGCTCCCCCCAAGTGCTCCGGGGTGGGTGATTCTGAGGTCTCAGGGCCAAGTGTCCTGGGCCGTGGACTGCAGCCCTGCAAGGCCCTCCAAGGCCGGGCTGGAACGAGGTGTGTGTTTAGGAGCAGAAGCGGCTGCTGGAACTCGGTGTCACCGGTCCCGAGGGCCACGTGCTCAGCCGCCCCGAGGAGGTAGGTACGAACCTGCGGGGCACCCCTCAATGGGCCTTCATTGGGGGTGGGCTGGGTCCAGGGACAGGCAGGACTGTGACCCCACTGTCCTCACCTGGGGGTGTGAGCCAGGGCTCCCAGCCCCCTTACCACGGGCCACGCTGAGGCCTGCGTGCGAAGCTCAGAGGGCAACGCGGTCTGCTCTAGGGTGGCGCGGGCCAGCGCAGATTCGGGACTGGAGCCCCAGGCTGGGATCCCGGCCCCCGGGTGCCCCTCTGGGCCAGACATCCGTGGGTGGCTGGGGCATCGCGGGCTCACTGCAGTCAGGAGCCCCGGCCCTCGCGTGGCCTGAGCAGCGGGCTCACTGCAGTCAGGAGCCCCGGCCCTCGCGTGGCCTGAGCAGCCCGTCTGCAGGTGGAAGCTGAGGCCGTGTACCGCGCCGTCACCATCGCCAGGCAGGCCAGCTGCCCCCTGTATGTCACCAAGGTCATGAGCAAGCCCGCAGCCGACGTGATCGCCCGGGCCAAGCGGCGAGGTGGGTGCTGGCCAGGGAGGGGCTCGGGGGTCGCTCCCGTCCACAGCCCCCCAGAGCGGCACAGAGCGACCCCATGGGGACGCCGCGGGCCTGCCGGCCTCCTCAGGGGCCTCGCAAGAGGGGCGCGGGTGTGGCCTGTGGGGGCCCTGAGGCTCCCTCTTGTCCAGACAGCAGTGGGCCTGACACGGGGCCTTGAATCACACGTGGGGCTTAGGGGCCCCGTTTGCATAGAAGTGGGTGTCAGAGCCGTATGTGTGTGTGTGTGGTGCGGTGCTTACGTGATGTGTGTATATGGTGTGTACATGGGGGATGTGTGTGTGGTGCTGATGTCATGTGTGTCTGTATACGGTGTGTATATTGTGTGTGTGTCTGCGCGCTTATGTGGTATGTGTCTCTGTGTGTATGTGGTGTGTGTGTGGGGTGTATGCTGTGTGTGGTGTGGTGTGTAAGCCTGCTCCCTTGGGTTGTGTGAGAAGCCTCACCCAGCTGACCCCTGGGCCGAGCTGCCGCTTCCTGGACACCTCCCAGGTTGGGGCGGGTGTGGGGCCAGCTTGGGTGCCCTCTGGGCCGTGGGGGAGGCAGGTCCTGGGCAGGCGGGGCGGCTGGTGTGTCTGTGCCTGGCAGGGGTGAGGGGGGGCCAGCGGCCCCGCGGGAGCCCTGGGCAGTGCCGTGGGTGGGGAGCAGCCCTCGCAGTCAGGAAGCTGAGGGGCAGGGCCTGGCGGGCGGTGGGAGGCCTGGCCCAGCCCGGGAGGCGGGGGGCCCCGCGGCGCAATGGGAGGCCTGGCCCAGCCCGGGGGGCGGGGGGTCCCGCGGCGCAATGGGAGGCCTGGCCCAGCCCGGGGGGCGGGGGGTCCCGCGGTGCAGTGGGAGGCCTGGCTCAGCCCGGAAGGTGGGGGGTTCCATGGCGCAGCGGGAGGCCTGGCCCAGCCCGGGGGGCGGGAGGTCCCGAGGCCACGGTGCGGCTCACGCCTCGCCGCAGGGGTGGTGGTGTTCGGGGAGCCCATCACCGCCGGCCTGGGCGCGGACGGCTCGCACTACTGGAGCAAGAACTGGGCCAAGGCGGCCGCCTTCGTCACGTCGCCCCCCGTCAACCCAGACCCCAGCACCGCGGACCACCTCACCGCCCTGCTGTCCAGGTAGGGAGCCCCTGGGCCCTGCCCTGCCGTCCAGGGAGCCCACCCCACCTCCCGGCCCCGCCCTGTGGGCACCCTCCACCTCGTGGCCGGGCGTGGGTTGGGAGTGCCCAGGGAGGACAGGCCCCCTGGGCCTCTGTGACCCCGGCTTTCTGCAGCGGGGACCTCCAGGTGACCGGCAGCGCCCACTGCACCTTCACCACCGCCCAGAAGGCCGTTGGCAGGGACAACTTCACGCTCATCCCCGAGGGCACCAATGGCGTGGAGGAGCGCATGTCCGTCGTCTGGGAGAAGTGTGTGGTGGGTGCACACGCACGGCCGCGGGGACCCCTCCCCATGGGAGGAGCTGGCGGGACCACAAATGGAGGCCCCTTGAGAAGCAAATTCACCGGGTGGAGTGGAGCTCGGGGCGGGCAGGCTCAAGGCTGTCCCCCTCCCCAGCCTGGTCACCCTGGGGTCCCCAGACGTTCTGCTCTGGTCCCCCGGAGAAGACTCCGTGCAGCCAGGCCCTGCCCTTGTCCTGATACACCAGCTCTGGGCACAAGAGGTCCCTACACTCTGCAGCATCTCCCCAGGAGGACCGAGGTTCCCCTAGACGTCTGTCTCACCTGGGGCCTTCACTACCGCGCCCCCACCCATGGCCCTGGGCCCTCCCCCTGGGCTGAGGCCCTGACCCCAGGCTCCTGGCCACCACCAAGGGCCAGTCACGTTCTCTGGGGACAGATGTCACTGTGGAGACATCAGCATTCACTTGCCCACAAAGTGAGCGTGGAGATGGGCTCGGTGCCCGGGGAGGACCAGACCTGCAGGCCTGGCTGAGGCACACTGCCCTCAGCCTGGAAGGCAGCCGCGTCCACAGGAGAGCCTGGAGACCAGACCCTGTGTGTGGCCAGGGAGGGGCGCCACTCACCCCACCTTCTGGCTTCTCAGGCCTCAGGGCAGATGGACGAGAACGAGTTCGTTGCCGTGACCAGTACGAACGCGGCCAAAATCTTCAACTTTTACCCGAGGAAGGGGCGGGTGGCCGTGGGCTCTGACGCCGATCTGGTCATATGGAACCCCCGGGCCACGAGAATCATCTCTGCCAAGAGCCACAACCTGGTGAGAGAAGCCGGTCCCACGTGGAGGCCATCTCGGGGTCTGGGGGCGCCCTGCAGCCATCCTGGATGTCCTGGGACTTGCAGGGCCAGCGGGGGCAGGGGGCCCTGTCTGGGGGGAGAGCTCACCTGCTCTGTGCCCCCGGGAGATGTTCCTGAGGGGCCAGGGGTGCAGGCATGACCACCCCCTCCGAACCCCAACCCAGCCGAGTGGACGCTCCCCGCCAGGGCCCTGGCTCCGGAGACTCTGAGCAGTGCCAGGGCCTCCCACTGGCTCACAGGGCCACTGTCCCCCCAGAACGTGGAGTACAACATCTTCGAGGGCTTGGAGTGCCGAGGAGCCCCGAGCGTGGTCATCAGTCAGGGCCGGGTTGTGCTGGAGGACGGGGCCCTGTGCGTCACCCCCGGGACCGGACGCTTCATCCCGCGCAAGACCTTCCCTGACTTTGTTTACAAGAGGATAAAGGCCCGCAACCGGGTGAGCCTGAGCCAGGCGGGAGGGCGGGCGGGCAGGGCCCTTAGGCCTGCTCATGGTCAGCTTGCTCCTGGCCGCCCTGCTGTCGGGAAGGCGCAGTGGCCTCACCGTTCTGGGTGGTTCCTCACCCACGTTCGTGACCAGGCCGCCCACGCCACTGCAGAGAGTGCGGGCGTGAGGCCAAGGAAACCCCGAGTGGCTGCCCCTAGGGACACGACCACCCTGCCTAGCAGAGGTCATCCAGCATTTCCCTGGAGTAGACCTGCCCTTCAGTGAACTCGGGAAGGAGAATGGGACGCGTAGATAGCGTCCGTGAGCCCTTGTCCCTCACTGGGGCTTGGCCAGCGGCCTGCTGTGTCCGGCAGGCTCGCAAGTGTTTGTCCAGGCCCTGCACGCGTGCAGGCAGGTCACGTGTGCGCACGGGGACACACAGGTCCAGCTGCACATGCATGTGTGGTGACTACACACGCGGGTTGGCTTTATCTCAGCCCCATTCCCACTAGTCTAGGACGACATTGTCTGAACTTGTATTTGGAAGGACCGCTCCCGGGCAGGGCTGGGGCCGGCAACAGCTCCTCCCCAGGGTGGGAGCGGAGGCCGCTCTGACCCGCAGGCACTCCTGTCTCAGGCTGCCCTGCCCACAACCCCACAACCCCAGACCGCCCTCGGCACGCCGCCCGCCTTGGGGGAGGGGGGTGTGCGTCCACACGTGCAGGTGGACACCGCTGGGGGTGGAGGGCCCTGCCCTCAAGCCCGAGGCTGGCTCAGCACCCCTCACACCGAGCCCTTCGGCCCCCAGCTGGCGGAGATCCATGGTGTTCCCCGAGGCCTCTACGATGGGCCGGTCCATGAGGTGATGGCACCCACCAAGCCAGGGGGTGGCGCCCAGGCCCGCGCATCCTGCCCTGGGAAGATCTCCATGCCCCCCTTCCGCAACCTGCACCAGTCGGGGTTCAGCCTGTCCGGTGAGTGGAGCCTGGGGTGCTCGGTCTCCTCAGGGCCCTGAGGACCATGTCCAACCCCCAGCCCCCGCATCTCACGTGAGGTGCACAGGAAAGGGGGCTGGGAGTCTCGAGTTCACCTGCAACCGCCAGCTCGAGCCTCTGCTTTCAGGGTCTGGGCTGTGGGGTGTGGATTTGCAGGGAGGCCCTGAACCCAGGCTCTCCCTAGAGACAGAGCCAGGCCTCCCTGCCCACTGGGGGCTGACCCGGCCCCTGGCGTCCAGTCCCTGCCGGCCTCCAGGAACCCAGCCTTGTACTGAAGGCTGGCGCCAGCCTTCTCTCATCTTAGGGCCCGTGCAGGGTGAGACCCAGAGGAGGGACGCTGGGGCTGGCCTGGCTTGTGCCCCTCCAGACAGGCTTTCCGGAGGGCCAGCCCTAACCTGCAGGCTCTGGCCGCAGGCACACCTGGCCTCACCAGCCTGCTCGTCTGAGGCCTCGGTGGGGGAGCCGCCAGGCCGTCCAGGAGCGTGGGGTTTGCAGCCCTGGCCCCCAGGGTGTGGCGGGCGGGTCTGCGTGCCCCCAGCACCGCCTCCATCCCGCCCTCCCGCAGGCTCGCAGGCCGACGACCACATCGCGCGGCGCACGGCCCAGAAGATCATGGCGCCCCCCGGCGGCCGCTCCCACATCACGTCGCTGTCCTAGGTGCTGCCGCGGGCGGCCGGCCCCGCGACCTTCCCTCCCTTCCTTGAACCCACTCTGTAAGGTGCTTGGCCTCCCCTTCCCCTTCCCAGAACCTCTCCCCTGGGGTCCCACGGCCTGTTACAGGGAGCCCCCGCAGGAGAGGCTGAATGGGGCGGTTTCACTGCCAGGGCAGGCAGAGGGGCTGGGCGTGCTGGCCGGGGCAGCTCAGGGGGCCCTGAGCCCGGGGACCTCGGAAGGCAGGGACCTCCGGGAATGCCCAGGACGGAAGGCGGGGGGCATGGTGCCCTCGTCCCCGACTCGAGTCACCGCCCCGGGGAGACCCCGACTCAGCTGCCATCCCGGCCCCGCCCAAGCTGCTGTGACTTCAGGGGCCCAGGGGATGCCGTGTGGGGCAGCTGCACTTCTCAGACTTCCCAGGGACCAGACCCCCACGCCGTCCATAGAGCCCTTCCTCCTCCAGGGGCCCCGGGGGCCCGGAGCTGAGTGCTTCCTTCTCCTACAACATGTGTTCCCAGTAGTTGATTAGAGAAGCCGTCCTGTGTGCTGAGGGCACTCTAGCCAGGAACCTGCATGCCGCCCGCAGCCCAGCGGCCCCAGTCCCGTGGAACCGGGTTGATTAAAGGCATCTGGACTGGAAGCCACTGGCGTGTGGAGAGCCCCGACTTCTCTGCCCCTACACCATCCCCCAGGGGTTCGTGTGCGGCACCCTCGGGAACACCCTGCAGCCCCCTGGTCCTGCCTCTAGACAGCTGGGAGGCCAGGCCACCAGATGACTGCAGGGCTGGCCGGGCCAGGCCTGCCGGGCAGGGGCAGGGCTGGGTCTGAGCTGTGGGCAGGGGCTCTGCCTCCCATTGGTCTGCAGGTCACAGAGAGCCAGACGCCCAGAAGGAGAGGGGCCCTGGGAGGACTCCTACCCACGTTCTAGTTGGGCCCAAGCCGCCCAGCAGGGCTTGGGGCAGTACAGCGCGTGGGGAGCTCACACCTCCAACAGGCAGTGGGGGACAAGGCATGGCCTGCATCCTGCCCAGTTAAGGCGGAGCAGGCCGGGGTTCTGATCCGAACCCGCAGACGGTGCTCCTGGGGTTGTTCTGAGACCAGCGTTCATTGCACCAGCGGCCCCTTCCCCAGGGACAGACAAGGCAGTTCGGGGGGCCAGACCACACCCGCAGGCCGGCCAGTGACTCACAAACAGGCACGCTGTCCCTTCGGGCCTCAAAAACGCACCTGAGGTGTGCACACAAAAACACAGGAAACACGGCTTTCTACTCAACGCCCGCCCCGCCCCCTCCCGCGCAGCCCCGCCTCCTTCCGCGCAGCCCAGCCCCGCCCCGCCCAGCTCCGCCTCCGACATTGCCTGGTCTCCACCCAGAACTCTCTCTAGGGGTTGGCACCGCCTCTGGGGGTCCAGCGGCGCTGCCCGCCTCTAGACCCGGGCTCCCCAGTGGTCTGGGGCCCACGTGGGCACCCCACTCTGGGTGAGTGGGACCCGTGAGCTGATCCAACCTGGGGTGCTCCGGTCCCTGCTGTTTTCAAGGGTTCTGCCCCTGCCCCCCAGCAGGCTGCACCTCCACCCCAACCCAACAGCGGCCTCGGGGTTTCTGGGGCAGGTGACGGGCACCCTCCCCACGCCGAGGACCGGAGATCCGGGAGGCTCTGGCCCGGCAGGAACGCCCCGGTCACGGACAAGCGTTCTGTATCCACGGCAGGAACAGGACATGCAAACCACCCGACACCAATCGGTTCTCATGTTGTTTTTCTCAGAGGTGGAAACTATACAGGAACACGGCAAAAATGACCAGAACGTGTGTGTCTATAAAACACTCTTCAGGCCCATGCCCCTCCCCCGTAATGGACAAGAACCAGGCGGAGCGCGGGCTGGCGGGGGCAGGCTATGTACAGCGGGCGGGACAGGACCCCAGACGACCCCCAGGAAAGTCTGGGCAGGGCCTGCGGCCCCCTCCACCGTCACGCGGGGGGGCGCCCACCCTCTGTGCCGCCCACTCTCAGCCACATCGGCAGCCTCTTGACACCACGTGTCCCGAGGGCCAGAGGGCAGACCCAGCGGTCAGACCATCCGGTGCTGTCCAGCTGGGTGCCGCCGGCCTGGGCCTGGACACGCTGGGCAGCTCCCTGGGAAAGTCGACGCTGGGCCTCCAGCCTCCCCATCCCTCTGGAGGCCTCGGGTCTCCGGTGGGGCCTGAGCTGACTCCGCAGGCAGCGGGCAGGGGCGGCCTAGCTGCTCCCAGCTGAGGGGCAGATGGCACCGCAGGTGGGCAAGGCCGAGCGCACACCGTCGCTGTCCGCCGAGGCCTCCGCTGCGTCCCCGGGCTCGGGCATGGGGTCCTGGCTCCTCTTCAGCCTGGGGAGACACATGGGGGCTTTATGCAGCCTCGCCAGTGGCCCGGGACGCCGCTCACTGGCCCAGGGCCTGTCCGGGTCTCCCAGGGTACACCCCCACAGGAACACGGCCTGGGGCTCCACACAGACCACTCCTGGGCATCTCCGCTTGGGTAGAAGCCCCTCTGGCCACACTGGCTCAGTGGGGCATGCAGGCACACGGGGCATCCAGCCTGCCCCTCTGTGGGCTCTTCACGGCCCTCGGGCTTGGGGCAGCAGGCTGGTGGGTCTCAGCTGGTTTCCAGCCAGAAGCTAAAAAGAGGCAGGTCAGGAATTCTGGAACAAAGTGCTTGGCTGAGTCCCATCACCACCCATGCCTTGACCTCCAGGGTGGTGGCCAGTGTCCTAAACCAGGGTCCACATGTCATCCTGGCCACTGAGGCAGGACAGAGCAGCAGTGAATCCTGTTCGGCTATTAGACCAGGGCCACCGCCTCCAGGAAGTCCTCCGCATCTCATCCCACCCCTCCTCCCCCGGCGTCCACAGCACTGGGCCATGGCAGGTGGCTCAGCTCTTGGAGGCCTGTCATATCTTCCTGCCAGCGAGCCCCGCCCTTCCTGCCCCTGCCCCCCCGAGTGGCTGGGGGGTGGGTTGATGCAACAGCGGGGCCCCTCACCTGGGCAGTGCACCCAGGGCCTGCCCAGAGACTCTGGCTGTTGGTGGAAAATGCCCAAGCTTAGACCTTAAAGTGCCGATGAGCCCCTCCCCAACAAGCCTGCACAGGGGCCTCCCCCGCCCCCCAGGGCTGCTGCTTGGACTCCCTGAGGAGGGCGGGGGTCAGGCTTCCCAGCCCCACTGAGGCCATGTGCCTGCTGCGCCCAGAAAGCCTTGGCCCGCTCCCCAGACTCCTTTCTGCCCCATTACTGGCCCCCAACACGCACACTCACTTCTCTCTGTTAAAAATCACAAAGTCCTGCTGGATGGCGTCAAGGCAGTCCTGAAGGTAGTCATTCTCCTGTTAGTCAGAAAGAGACACGCGTGAGCGCCTGCCAGCCTCCCCGCATCCTGCAGGGAGGCTCCTGGGCATTCCCAGTCTGTTGCTCCCGCGGGCCTGCCTTCTCCCACCCTGGCTCTCTGAGGAGCCCACTCTACCCCAGGCAGCCAGAGCACATGGGAGCGGAGGTCTCCTGGTGACCCCCCCCTTAGCCAGTGACAGAGGGACGCCCGACCCCCGTGCTGGGGCGGCCGCAGGGTCTGCAGAGCCAGACTGGTCCAGGAGCTACACCGGGCCAGCTCCTCCACACCCCCTCCACCCTGGGTCCTCCTGGTCACTGGACCCTGGTCACAAACCCAGCTGAGGGTCTGCTTCCGGGACCTGCCTAAGAAGGTGGGTGGCAGGGGTGGTCTCGAGAAGCAGTCTCCGGCTGGGGACTGAAGCTGGTCCCGCACTGGCCAGATCCAAGGCATGTCATAGGTCCCTGGCATGCGAAACCCTGGTTACTGAGCCCCTCGCCTCAGGAGTGTCTGGAGAGGGTGTGGGTGGTGGGTTTGCCCTGGGACCGTGGCTCTGGGTGGTCGTGGTTGGCCCCAGGGTGTCTGAGTCTCAGACTCAGCGCTGCAAGCTGGCAGCCCAAGGCACAGTGTGGAGATGCCCTGTCCGGCGGCCCGGACAGCTCTCTGGAGACCAGGCTGGGATGTCCAAGCCCCAGAACTTAAGTGGGCTGGACTCACTGCCACGAAGTTTCCTGCATCCAACTGAGGCTCTGATAGGGAAGGAGTGGGCCTCGGACGCGGGAGGGGCCCGGGAGGACGCTAGTGCAGGTTAGCCCCATACCCCCGCTCTCCTGACCTGCGGGAGGGCCCCACCCCTGCCGGAGAAAAGGGACCCCCCACCCCACTCCTGCAAATGAAACAGCACTCGCCCCCACGCCCTGCCCCACGGCCTGTGCTGCCACGCGTAGCCCCAGCGGGCAGGCGCTGCACCTGCTGGGGAGGGGGGTGCCGCTCATCCAGTGGGCAGGACAGGCCTGGGAGGGGGCTGAACAAGGGGGAGTCTGCCCTCCACAGCTTGGGGCTAACTCCCAGCAGGAGCCCTGGCGTGAGTGCATCCTAATACACTGCAGTTTGGAAACCTGGAAGAAAGGATGGCCCAGGTGAAGCGGTCAGAAGGTTCAGAACAGCCTTGGGAGAATGCTGGGATAGGGTCAAAGGCTCAGAGACGTGGGCAGCTGGAGCGGCCAGCAGACTCAAGAGTAAAGACCCATAGACCCCCCAGATGACCGCATTCTTCTGGAGGGCCTGAGGAATGTGCTTTCCAGCCAGAAGACAAGGAACAAGCTGGTGGGGACACAGCGCCTGGGGAAGCCCCGTGGCTCCTGTGTAGTTCGAGAGGATCTGCTCCAGGACCGAGTGTCCCAAAGGCCATGATGGGATCCCGGACAGTGGCAGCCTTGACCTCACCTAAGTCAGCCACACTTAAGGGGGTGTAACCATGGAAATAGGCCTCCAGGCTGGAGAGGCAAGCAGGACACCCCGACCCCTGGGATGCTGAGGGTGTCTGACTGATCACAGTGCTTTCAGGGTCAGAGGTGGACGGCCAGTGCTCACACACACGTGCCTGTGTGCACACACACACACTCAGATCGAGCGTGCATGAGCACCAGGCTGACGTTGGCCACCTGGATGGAAAGTCACAGCTCTTTTCCCTATTTCCAGATCAAATTCGGTTCTTAGACCTGGACCTGTGGGCTGAAGCAGGGACAGGCTCTTTTCTTGGTCAGGAAGGCCCGAGCAAGTGTACATGGCAGCGATACCCCAGTCCTTCCCAAAGGTACCCATGACCACTTCCCTGCATATCTGCACACAGGAGGGCTGTTGAATACAGGTGTGAGCCGAATACTAGGCCCACGTCCCTCTTCTCCCCCTGGCGGCTGTATGCATAACCAAGATGGATGTATTAATATTTGGTATCTGGCCGAATTCTCTTAGTTCATTGACCTGTGGAGTAGCAGCTATTCATATTATCATGGAAAAGCCCAGTGAAAGCTCCTGAAAATAGTCTTTCTCCCAAAACCAGCCTAGATAGGAAATAACCCACATCCAGAGTGGAATGGCAGTGCCTAGCACCACCGTCTTTGAGTGGTGTTTTGAGTCTTTGCCTTTATCTGTGGGGATCCGAGGGCTTCAAACAGTGGTAAAGAACCTGCCTGTCAATGCAGGAGGCGCAGGAAACACAGGTTCGATCCCCAGGTTGGGAAGATCCCCTGGAGGAGGGCATGGCAACCCACTCCAGTGTTCTTGCCTGGAGAATCCCAGGGACAGAGGAGCCTGGTGGGCTACGTCCACGGGGTCGCAGAGTCAGACACGACTGAGTGAGCACAGCACGGCACAGCGTGGATCCGAGGATGCTACTCCTGTCGCTTTTCCATTTAATTCACAAGCCTGGCCTGCGGAGACCAGCTGGCTTGTGGCCGGAGGGGGAGAAGGGACAGATCTTAACCCAGTGGTGGCCCGAGCCTCTACCAGAGCTGACCGACACGGCTGCCCACTGCAGCTCGCGGCCCAGACCTCACAGGGCATTCCTCCCGACACCCGTAGCACAGAGGGCGGGCACTCGTCTGCATTTGCCGAGGACGACCGAGCATCAAGCCGGCCCCCGGTTACCACGGCTGGAGTCTCTTTTCTAACTTCACAGGGGTGTGAAAGTGACAATCAGACAGCAGAGACCGCACTTCAGATTTTGACCTGGACCTTTTCCGGGCTGGCGATACAGGATCCAACCCTCTGATGTGATGCCGGGCAGCGGCTGCGGCTCCTGCTCACCCCCGCGACCCCGAGGGTGAAAACTGACGCTCAGACACCCACCCTGGACCCAGACGCGCCCTTTTCCACTTCCAGTATTTGATAAAGTACACGGGTGGGTCAATACTGAGTTATAAAAGAGGCTCAGTGTCAGATGCCTCTGCCCGACTCGGGGCTGACCTGAGTGCTCTGAGCCCGTACGAGGCAGGCCTGGCGGACTGTGATGTTCAGGAGGTGAGGGGTAGTAAACGCAAACTGACTTCCGATTTTCCAACTTAAATGGGGTCATCAACCCTGCCAGTGCCGATGACGACTGGACAGGGGCACAGACTCCGGCCCGAGTCAGCGCTGGACTGAAGCCAAGGGCTACTCAGAGGCGGGGGTGAGGTCATGGCAGGAGGTGACCCCCGAGGCCCGGGGACCAAGGGAGGCGCAGGATGAGGGCGCAGGGGAGCGAGGCTGGGGCGGGCGACGGGTGCAGAGGCTGTCCGCCGTCTGGGGGTCAGCGGGGGGTGGGGAGGAGCTGGGCTGTGTCTCACACCCTCCCTCACTCAGGTTCTCCCAGGACGAGGGGCGAACCGGCCCGAGGAGCCGCTCGGAGGTCGGAGCGGCATTAGAGGCGGACGGTGTGGGCAGCAACGCGCCAGGGCCCCGCCCTCCCGAGGTGCGTGCTGTGCGCATGTGCCGTCAGCTGGGGCTCTGGGGCGTGGCCCGTCCCGCTCGCGAGCACCTCTCCGGCTAGCGGCACACGTGCGTGGCCCCGTGGCCTGCTCGGGCTTTTGGAGCCTTTGCCATGCAGGCTCAGGAGGCCACAGAAACGTATGATGACCCTCTCGGGCTCCTTGCTTATGGCTGCTGGGCACAGGGGCATAACCCACACTCAGATCCCTACAGGTCAGGCCGCTCCCCCGGACTCCGCTGGAACTCCGCCTTGCTTCCCCCCGCACCCCACCCCCGACCACTGTGCCAGTGATGGTTCAGGGCACACAGTCCTCAGGGCGGACACCTACGGGCCCTATCAATGCCAATGCCTCACCCAAGGTGGGCAGTGACAGGGTCCAGGCATGCAGACAGGGCGCCAATCCTTAACTTTGTCACAAATGACCTGCTGAGTAACTGAGACAGAATTCTTAAGCTCTTCAGAACACCCTGGGGATGCAAGGGACCCAGAGGAGCTGAAATGTCTTAAAAAATTAGAACAGTTTGGCAGACCTGCACTTGTTGACCCAAGAACTCACCAGAGCCCCAGTCGTCAAGGCAAGGTGGACCCAGCAGGACAGACACACAGATCAGTGGGCTAGAAGTGCAAGTCCATAAACAAGCCCCTCCATTCACAGTCAATCCATTTTTGAAAATGTTGCCAAGCAATTCAATGGGGGAAAGATGAGCCCTTTCCATAAACAGCAATTGGACGACGCAGATCCACATGCAGAGCAGTCAGGCTGGGCCCCACCTGACACTGTGCATAAAACCTACTCAAAATGGACCCGAGCCTCACGCATAAGACAGAAGACTACAAAACACAAGGGTACATCTCTGTGACCTCGGGTGAGGCAACGGTGTCTTAGAAACGACACCAAAAGCACACACGAGGAAAGAAAAGACAGACACGGGACTTCATCAGAACCGAAGACTGCTGCAGATGGTGCCAACCTGAAGAGAGAAAGCCCACAGACTGGACGATGTTTGCAGATCGTCTAAGACACTTGTGTGCAGAACATGTAAATAAATCACACTTATCAGTCAACAGTAAAAAGTGGAAATAAGGAGTGTTGATTTCCGCTCTTTCACACAAAGAACTCTGAGCCATCACTCCCAGTCTGATAGCAAGAAAAAAGCTGGACCAAGGACTTCTGTGATGGTCCAGTGGTTAAGAATCCACCTTCCGATAAGGGAATGCAGATCGGAATCCTGGTCGGGAACTAAGATCTCACATGCCACATGCTGCAACAAATGAGTGTTGCAGCTAAGACCCTACAGTGACAAAGTGTTAGTCGCTCAGTCATGTCCAGCTCTGCGGCCCCACAGACTGTAGCCCGCCAGGCTCCTGTCCATGGAATTCTCCAGGTTAGCATACCAGAGTGAACTGCCATGCCCTCCTCCAGGGGCCCTTCCCAACCCAGGCATTGAACCCTAGTATCCTGCACTGCAGGCAGATTCTGCACCATTGAGGCACCAGGTAAGTTTAAGAACCAATAGGAATTCCCTGGTGGCTCAGATGGTGGAGAGTCTGCCTGCAGGGAGCCCTGGGTTCAATCCCTGGGTCGGGAAGATCCCCTGGAGAAGGAAATGACAGCCCACTCCAGTGTTCTCACCTGGAGAATCCCATGAACAGAGAAGCCTGGCGGGCTACAGTCCATGGGGTTTCAGAGAGTCACACGACTGAGCGACTTCATGTCACTTCTAGAGCTATAATAAATAAATAAACCCGGACCAGCCTGCAATGCCCCCGCCGAACACCAGGGGCCGCCATCAGCAGCCCACGGAATGGGGAGGGGATGGGGGCCCACCTACCTGTTCCCTGAGGAGCCAAGGCTTCCAGGGAGACCCCTGCACCACGGAGGAGCTGGCGCCCGTGTCTGCCTAGGACCCAGGCATGGGGCTGCACAAGGCCCCCCAGGTGTCCTCCCAGGCTCCGAGGGGCCCAGGAGCAGGGGGACGGTGGTGGGCTTACAGTGTCGCTGCTGTGACCCCGCCATCCATTCCTGCAGCCCTAGTTGTGTCGTGAACACCGGCGGGATCCTGGGGACAGGCCCAGGCTGGATCCGCTGCTCCCCAGGGGAACTCCTACTTCCAAGAACAGGACTGTGGGGGCTGTGATGGGTTACACCACGTCCCTGGGGTGGGGTCCTGACCCCATTCCTAGGAATGTAAAATGAAGTCTCCACAGATGCCACCAGTCAAGTGAATGGGGAGGTCACCCTGGACTCGGGGTCCCACCCAGTACAAGCAGTGTCCTCATGAGAAGAGGCAGACTCATGCACATGCACACGCACACACGAGTGCACTCACACACATGCACACACACAGAAGTGCACAGACATGCACATACATGTGCACACATGCAGTCACACACATACAAAACACAGAAGTGCAAAGACATGGACACACATGCATGCACGCATATGCACACACAAGTGCACTCACACACACACAGAGGTGCACAGACATGCACCTAAATAAAGTGTGCACACATACAAACACATGCACACAAGAGCACACACACACACGCAAAAGCATGCGTGCACACACAGGTGCACTCAAACACATGTATACATACACGCAAACACATGCACACACATATGCACACACACAAGTGCACTCACAAACACATGCTCACACGCACACATACACAGGAGTGCACTCACATACACACGCACACACACACGAGTGCACACACACACAGGGAAATGACCCCGAGACCATGGAGGCCGACCTGGCCCCATGTGACCCTCCAGAGCTGGGCAGGCAGGAGAGCCCCTGTTCCCCCACCACAGAGGGAGTGAGGGGCCAGAGCAGAGGCAGCCGGGTGCCGGGCCGCGCTCACCGACGGGCAGCTGTCCCTGCTGCTATCCCGGGACCTGCTCTTGGCCAGACGCTTCTTCTTCTTGTGCAGCGGCCGTGACTCCAGGATCATCTCCTCCAGCTCGAAGGTGGGGTCACAGTGCAGGCGGCCTTTCTGTGGAGGGTGGTGCTGAGCCGGTGCCCGGCTACCCTCACCCACCCTGGCCACCCCGGGCCCTGGGCTTACGTTGGGCACGAAGCCGGGCTCCACCTTCTTCTCGCTCAGCTCAGCCCACAGCACGCCGGCCAGAGCGGGGGCCGCCCGCACGTCCTGCAGGCTGGACACGCGGTGCTTGGGGTTCACGGTGAGCAGCTGGAACAAGGCCCTGGTCAGCGGCCCCGGTGCAGGTCTCATCTCCCCGGACCCACCAGGAGGCAGCGGCTGCAGTCCGGCTCCGTGCTCTTGGTAACCGGCTCAGCACCACGACAGGACTAATGCTCACGGGCCCAGGGCGGCCCTGCAGGACGGGCCACCATCACAGCCGCCCATTCTAGGGGGAGCCACCGGAGACCTCACCCAAGGCTTCCGCAGCAAGGCATGTGGATCCTCCCCACCCCACCTGGGCCTCTGGGGGCCACAGTCCCCCTTGGGAGCCACCTAGGCCAGTGTGGATGCAGTGGCATGCGGTGAAGGCTGGTTGACAGCCCCTCTCGGGGGCTTGGGGCCCAGGACAGGCAGGGGTTCTGGGGCCTCCCCTGCTCGCTTCTGGTGCGGGGTCTGGCCAGGCCACTGCCAGCGGACGGTGGCTCCCCACCTCCGACAGGATGAGCCGGCCTGAGTGGGACCAGGCCCCGGCCGCCTCCCCGACACACGCTGGGGTGACCTGCCCTGAGCTGGGGTGTTGGTGACGGAAGCGGCCGCGAGGCTTTGATTAGGTCATAAGGACTGACAGCCGCCCCAGCACTCACACAGGCGGAGCCGCGACAAGACAAGGAGCCCGGGGCCGGGCCAGGCAAGGAGCCCAGGGGGAGCCAGACACGCGGCCCAGGAGGCCCTGGCTGGACGCGGTCCCCGGCCAGGCGCTCTGGGCTGCCCGCCCTGCCCCCGTGCCCGCCGCCCGCACTCCGTGTGGGGCGGGCGCTCACCTTGCGCAGCAGGGCCACCGTCTCCTTGGACCAGGCGGGCACGTACTGGACACTCACGGTGCTGAACAGCTGCACCAGCGACTCCACGGCGCTGCTCGAGTGGATGTCGTAGGGCCTCTGCGCAGGGGAGGCGGGGCTGCAGCAGGCGCCTCCCCCGTCACTCGGGGGCACCCCGCCCCACCCCCAGCCCCATCCCAGGGCAACCCCGGGACTAGCCCAGGAGGCCAAGCCTGCACCTCAGCCAGGGAAGCGCCCAGAGAGGCCGCCGCGGGCTGGGAGGGAAGCACCGCGTCCCTGCCCCTCCCCCAGCAGAGGGCCTGGCCCCGGGGGACCAGCTGCAGAGGGGGCGGCCGTCTGAGGGTGCCGTGCCTCCGGGGCCCCCATGAAGGGATGGGAAGGGCAGCTGAGGGCCTGACAAGCCTCCGGCCTCCTGGGCTGCGGGACTGGCCGAGCTGTGGCCATTGTGGGGAGGGCAGGGGGACCCACCGCCTAGGAACCTCAAGGGAAGCTCGGGGGCGGGGTGCAGCCCTGCAGGACGGTCCTCTGCCCACCCAGCCCTCCCAGCGTGCTGCCTCACTAATGGGGAGCACGGACATCCCTGAGCCCCGGGGGTGGGGGCAGCCTCAGCTCTCTGGGCCACCCCGGGGGGTCTGGGGGCCTGGCTGACGGGTCACAGGAGCTCCGTACCCATCCTCGCAGCAGCTCGTAGGCCATCACCCCCACTGACCACCAGTCCACCTCAAAGGAGTAGCCGGTCCCACCGTTGACAAAAGACTGGAAGATCTCCGGAGCTTTCCAGGAAGGCGAGAGCAGCTGAGCATCCCCAAACAGCAGTCCCCGTGACCCCGACCCCCGTGACCCCAGCCCCCGAGGACCACGGTTCCAGTGACCGCAGGGCCCATGACCCCAGCCCCCGGTGACTGGAGAACCTATGACCCCAGCCCCTGGTGACCCCAGCCCCCTGTGACTCCAGCCCCCATGACCAACCGGCCAGCGCGGTCGCCCTCTCACCGTCCTTTATGATGGTGGCGATGTTGAAGTCAGTCAGGTGCGCGTGTCCTGTGAGCAAAGGTGAGTTCAGCATGACTGTCCAGTCCGGGGGGAACGTGTCCTGCAGGTGAGCCCCCCCCACCAAGGCTTTGGCTGCGGCTCACCTCGCTCATCCAGCAGAATGTTGTCGGGCTTCACGTCTCTGCAGAAGGAGCAGGGAGCGGGGAGGTGAGGCCAGAAGTGCCGGCAGGACAGGGGCTTCCCACGAGCGGGACCCCAGGAGCCCAGCCCCTCCTCTGCCGGGCCGCAATGGGAGAGTGCCCAGCACTGGTCAGGGAGGGCGCCAGAGCCCAGAACGCAGAAGCAGAGCCCCCTTGCCTGGGCCCCTGGTGAGCCTCTCAGAGCCCCGGGTCTGCCCGTGGCCAAGCCTGGCCTCCCGATCTGGCACTTGGTCAGGAAGCATTTGTGCCCGAACCACAACCAGATCAGCACCCCCGGAAGAGCTGCAGAAATCACGTCTGCTGCACTTTATGCCACGTGGGATTTTGTGTTTCGTCCTGTGGACGCAGCTACCTTCCTCATTTCATCAGCCTTCAGATGCTAAAACTAACTTGAATTTGCCAGGGACGAGGCAGATGGGCACAAGGCCAGCGGTGGGGCGGGGGCAGGAGTCCTGCACTTATCAGAGCAGGTGAAGGCGGCCCCCAGTGAGGCACCGGCCCCCCGTCCCCGGCCTCACCAGTGAGACATGACCACCCCAGGGGGCCTCATTTGTGCAGCTGAGGGGCTGACTGAGCTGGCGCTGGTGGGCCCGGGTGCCGCGCCTGGGGCAGGTGTGCGGGCAAGGGCAGGGCAGAGCGCGAGGCACCCGGGGGGCCCTGTGAGGACAGCCCCCCGACAGGCGTGCACGCACCTGTGGATGATGTGCTGCCCGCGCAGGTAGTCGAGGGCCAGCGCCATTTCGCAGACGTACAGCCTCACCGTGTCCTCCGAGAACTGCACGTTCTGCTGCAGGTGGTAGCGCAGGTCCCCCCCCAGCAGCAGGTCCACCACCATGAACATGTCCTCCTCGTCCTGGAAGGAGTACCTGAGGGCACGGAGGCGCCTGGCACACACTTGGCTGGACGACTGGGGTCACGGCTCCCGCCACATCTGACCCACCCCCTGCACAAGGGCCCTGGACCCAAGGCTGTGCCACAGTGGACACTCCCAGTGATGGTGATAGTGAGGACGGTGATGGTGATGGTGGTGATGGTGATGATGGTGATGGTGATGGTGATGGTGGTGATGGTGATGGTGGTGATGATGGTGATGGTGATAGTGGTGTGATGGTGATGATGGTGATGGTGGTGATGGTGGTGGTGGTGATGGTGATGATGGTGGTGGTGATGGTGATGGTGGTGATGATGGTGATGGTGATGGTGGTGATGGTGGTGGTGGTGGTGAAGATGGTGGTGATGGTGATGATGATGGTGATGGTGAT